ACACCACTGAGTTTCATACCATGCTGGAAGAAATATTTCAGATGATCTCAGCAATGTTTTAATGAAGAAGAGGGGACTGGACATTTTGTATCCATTTCATCCGGGAAATTTTATTTTTATCATGGATAGGTCAGTACCTTAATAGTCAGGGAATCTTGGAAAGTTCTCTTTGTATTATATGAAAGGGATAAAGTTTATCAATAAATCTATTAACATAGGAATTACAATTTCCTCGATTGTGATTAGTTTTAAAAACTCCTATTTTCCACTAATTCACTTGCCAAGTTGTTGTTGGACAGTTCAATAAGCCAAATACATTCAAAGTTGTAGTTTAAGTCAACCAATCACATTCAAAGTTGTGGTTTAAATCAATCAATCACAACCTTGGTTCCAATCGCCATAGAAACAGTGTACAGATTCCTAAATTGGGGCTTTCTTTAAAACAGAGAATTGGTTTCCCTTGAGCAATGACAATATTCAAGTGTTCTTTTTAATTTGGAAATTGTAGTTTTTATGATTAATTGGTAAAAGGACTTTGTGTCATTTGTTTCGGTCTGTAATCACACTTGTGATAAACAAATTGTACTTCCACTATGCAGTCGTCTGATTTTGTTATCACTCATATGATTACAGACCAAAGACTACTCAGTCCTATTACCACTTATTACACAATCTAGCATGTGAATCTTATTAAGCTGACCAGCTTCACTTTTCCTCTGTTTATTACTTTATTCCAGATTAGAGACAGGAATACAAAATCAGGACCTCCCAGTAGCAAATTTGCCACTGTTAATTTAATTGATCCATCTGAGCTTCAACCAATCAGTGAAAAGGAATTAATACTAGGACAGGGTTCATATGGCTGGTGCATTTTAAAATCTTTCAAAAGATTAAACGTTCTTGTGGTAGAAAAACAATGTCTGATGCAAAGCACTAAAGAGATGATACAAATCATGTAGACTCTCACACACAAAAACATTCCTGGAATAATAGGAATCCAGCTTGAAAGAGAGCCTATATCTCTAGTGATGGAGTTCAAAGGGGAAGAAAATACATCCGCAACAGTCAGTAAACTATTGTATTGCAAAGAATCCAATGGTATATTAGAGAAAGTTAACAGTTCACTGACAAGCAAAGACTGGCTGATCATTTGTCATGATATCACAGATGCTCTCGCTCACATTCACTCCAAAGGCTTTCTCCATTGTGGTCTCAAATCAAACAATGTTAATATGTAATCCAAGATGGTGGCTCTGGGTCCCAGAACCTAACTTCTGAAGTTTGGTTTTATATGAGACAGGCAGAGTGAAACAAAGAACATGATTTTTACAGATTATGTGTAATACCCAAATGTTATGAACTGCTGAAATTGGCAATATTCTTTCAGTTATCTAAGGAGCTATTTATGACGAATTATGTTATTATTATGCTATATATGTGAAACAAAAAGAAAACTGCATGTAGGCTGCTGGTGGAAACCCTCTGTATTAGTCTGCCCTCTTCCACAGTTAGCAGTGGGATTAGGGAAAGTCACACCACAGTAAATTAAAAACAAAAAAAAATTATCACAAAAACAGTTCCAGCAGCACAGAAAGGCCACAATGTTGGATGGATGGCCAGGTATACAATTGGAAAATAATTTGCAAAATGTGTAGCAGCATGTTTGTGTTAATCCCATATTATGAAGCATGAGTTGTTTTCAGTAACTCAGTGTCAAATTTTATGGTATAGTTTTCTGTAATAATAACTAATTATCATCATATTGGCTTTCCATTGTTAGACATTAATGCCAATTTCTTGACCAATTGGAAGTAAAACCAAGTATAACTTGTTTACATATCTAAAAGTAAATAAACAAAGTTAAAACTGGGTGGGTTGCCTTGAGAACCCATCTGTTCTGGTGTGTTGTTTTCTGAGTTCTTAGAAATAAGTGCACACTATCTTAACTCTGGTGTAATTTTGAATATCAGAACCCTGAAGAATAGCTCTTACTAACAGACCTGGTGCATGACACAGTAGTTTGGGTGTGTTTCTATCTGACCAAATGATAGGCTTTGACCTGTTTTGAGACTTATCCGTGTCAATGGTACTGTCCATCTAGTGTGTAAACATAGTACTTTTAAATGAATTCAGTAGACTTATTCATTTGATCATTATCATCTGCCACACAACTGTGTTCCCTATGTTACATTAGTGTTCACTGTGAGATCTAGAATGACATAAATGTAAGCAAAAATGGTATAATAAATTATTTGAGCCTAAGCCTTCTTGTAGTTGAAATATTGGGAAAGAAAGGAAGAAGAAAATAATCAAGAATAGAAGAATTAGGCATATGCAAGATAACATTCTGTTTCCATTGTTACTTTAGCACATCAGTATTCCTGTTGTGAAGATGTCACATCTTTTATCAACAGGACTGCCAAGATGACTCATCTTTTTGCCAGTTTCTGTTTGCTATTGTAACAATAACTCTTGCAGTCCACTGGCAAAGGCCAAAAATTAACTTAGGAATAAAACAAGGATGCTGTGGCTCAAAAAACTTTGTATTAGGACACTGCCAGCTTGAACCTAGGAGTCAGCATTTAGGCTTTGAGTTTAAGCAGAGACTTTTCCCTTTTTCTAAAATTTATGATCTATTTGCAAGCATTTTCACACGCCAAAGCCAAAATCTTCTCTTAAAATTAATGATTGAAAAACCAAGGTATGTTAGTTAACATTTTCTTTCAATTATTAAGTTTCATTGTGGCAACTTCACCTTCACCTAACTTCTTCGCGCCAAGTGGCACAGAAGGCCTTATCCCTGAAACATTTTTGTATATTCATCTCTCATCTCGTACCTATCCTGTGTATCCGTGTATGTAAGCTATGTTCGCGCTAAAAATCTAAAGGTGGGAGGATAACCGTAACTCCACTGACTCACCTCTACAAGTTAACATTTCTCACAGTGCTAGTTCCTCTCATATTAAATAAGTCGTGCTGATTAGACATGGTCGAAATGTAAATAGTATTTTTGACAGAATAATTGAAGACAAGTACGCATGCGTTAAAGGTGTCTGGCTCGATATTTCGATACGCCCACGAAATCAATTGACCGTGAAGATCTGGGAGAAAGCCGTTTACCAACAGGCTACTGGAAAGCGCTTTTAGTTATTCACCATAAGGGATAGCTGCATACCCACAAATATGTCGTAGAAAAGCCGGTTAAGACAACAGGACAACAGGCAAAAGAATGGAGTCTTTTATTAAGATTAAAGAATCATATTACGACATTCATAAAATTAACCAGGACTCCATTCACGAGCAATGACACATTGATCTCTATAGTTTGAAAGGTTATGGAGTCGCATTACAACACTAACCAGGACCCCAATAACTAGCGATGATAAGTTGATCCCCTACAGTTTGACATGCTTTCACACATTCCCAACAGACCCGGGGAAATATCGCTGCGGGAGATGATACTTGCAGTAAAAGCCATATCCGTCCTCTCATGATAAGAGATAAAACTCTTAACGCTTGGGAAGAATTAGTATCTTTAGACGTTCTTTCGCTCTTCACTAAAATCCCATTTGATCTTGCCGTTAAGGTTGCGTAGGAGTGACTCAGAGAAAATGAAAATGCTTTCGCCAATCTCTTTATGGCAGAAATTGAAACAAAACTGCTTCACCAAAGCAGTATCAAGCCGAGAGTATGGAAGCGTTACATTGACGACGTTTTCTCCCTGTGGGATGTTCGTAAACAAGACATTGATCTATTCATAGAACAAGCTAACAGGTTCCACCTAACTATAAAGTTCACGGCTGAAATCTCAGAGACTGAAATCACATTCTTAGACACGGTTGTCTACAAAGGTGAAAGATTCCAAAACGAAGCTATCCTCGACGTCAAAACTCACTGCAAACCGACCGAGACCTTTCAATATACACACTATTCATCTTGCCACCCGCCAGGTGTTAAGAAAGGCTTTATTAAAGGAGAAGATATCAGACTTCTAAGAACAAACTCCTCGGGAAGAAATTTCCAGGAGGCCATGTGTAACTTCAAAACACGACTTGAAGCACGTGGTTACCCAAAAAGCCCAATTGAAAAAACGTTATCTGAGGTCTCGTTTGCCGCAAGGCAGTCGACACTTAAAAAACAAACCAAAAAAACTAAAGGCAAAATATTGGCTTTTGTGACAGCATACCACCCAGGGGTTAAAAATTTAAAACAAATACTGATGCAAGAATGGAACCTCATCCAAAATCAGCCACTGCTGAAAACAATTTACAAAATGCCTCCGATTATATCATACAAAAGAGGTAAATCGCTCAAAGACATACTCGTCAGAGCGAAGCTTTAATTAAAGGCTTTTGCGTCGCAAACGTAAAACCACACAGGGGAGTCTGTGTAGGCCTGTCTATGACCTTTTCAACCCTAGGACAAAGAACTTCTTTGCCTATAGAGGATATCATTCATCTGCTGTCTTTTTATCTCAAAACCACACAATTTGCATACAGCGGCACCTGCTATCAAAAGATTTTTGGTGTAGCTGTGGGTTCGCCCGTCTCTGATGTCATGGCCAATATGGTAATGAAAGACGTGGACCAAAGGGCTTTAGCCACTTCACCGGTTAAACCCTTTTTCTGGAAACGATATGTCGATGATGGTATTTCTGCGTGGTATCCAGAAATGAAGCGGAACGCCTCCTATCGCACTTGAATTTAGTAGAGCTGTCTATCCAATTTACCCTTGAGCGTGAAAAGGATAGACATTTGCCCTTTCTTGATTTAAATATATACAGATGGGAACAGGGGAATTAAGAGACAAGTGTCTATCGTGAACCTACCAACACCGACAAATACCTCGCTTTCGATTCTCATCACCCTATTTGCCATAAATAGTCTGTAGCCAAAACTTTACTCAAGAGAGCTGACTGTCTACCATCTTCAATCGATTCGAAGGCTGAAGAGAGGAAATATGTTTCTCATGTCCTAGAGGCGAATGGCTACACAAAAACTTTTCTCCGTAACTGCCAAAAACCAGTTACAACTAATACCACTCCTGATGAGAGGGAACCAGCGACTGGTTCTGCTGTTATCCCTACATTCAGGGTGTTACGGAACCCATCAAGAGAATTTTGAATAGCAACGACGTTAAAGTTGCTCAAAAACCTTTTCAGACTTTGGGGCATATTTTTGCCAAACCTAAGGAGCCTGTTACGAAAGAACCGTCGCTCTTTTTTCTATTCCGCGCAATGACTGTGATAACGAATATCATTCGGACAGACCAAACGTCAGTTTGGTACACGTTTGAAAGAGCATCAAAAAGCGGTCTTCTTTTGCGAAAAAGAAATTTCAGCTTTATCAGAGTACAGCCTAAGAGTACAGCCTAACCAACCATACGATTGGGTGGGATAAGTCTAAAATTATCGCCACTAGCCGACGTTACCACCAGCGCCTTTGTTTGGAAGCCTGGCATATCAACTTTAATCGTGATGACGGCGGCTTACTTCGTGACGCCTATTTACACCTCGTCAGAAAACAGCTAATTAGTGAGCGTATAAAAGGACCACTTGTTGCAGCGTTTAGATCACCCCTGATGAAGGCAGTAGACAGGAATGTTGAAACTTTGGGTCTATGAATTATAACTTCTCTGTTATATTCATTAAATCTTTAAACCAGAGTAGCATCAATCCATGTCAGATCTAAAGCTGTTACGCCACCTGCCAAATAGTACTATCTCCGACCATTTCCCGGACTTCTCTCTAACTTTTTTTCATTCATTTAAAATGAAATTTCGGAACAAGCGAGCCGCAAAATAGCAATAGGAAAACCAAAGAAAGGTTTGTAAACGTGCCAAGCGCCGTAATTGATGTTGTTATAACGTGAACAGAGACAAAAATCCTCAAAGAGAAAATGAAATGGACAGTCCGAGTTTTGAAGGTTTTCACGCTCAGTTTGATTGCAAGCTTACGTACGGTGATAAAAATCAAACAAAGCTAACACTCGTGTAATACATATAGTTAAGTATTCACAAACAAATCAGAACAAAGGAGGAATGATGAGAAGTATAGCTTGAGAGTGAATGGAATGCGATTGGTATTCTCCTTCTAAGCCGTTTGTAGTGCTGACTGTCGATCAATTTGTTGGGCGCGATGGTGGCCCGCTTGAACGCCAGAAACAGGATAGCCAAGTTTATCAAAAAGCTGGCATTTTGCCTCTGATTTTCAGGAAAAATCAGAGTCGTCACTAGATAAGCGACGAGGTCTAAGAAACTGTAAAAAAAAGGAAAGGAATTCTTAACGTGTGATGGATACGAAGATGAATACAATAAGTAACTATACGAATCTGTAGGTTTATTGTAAACACTAGTGCATAGACCGTTGCCAATGTTAGGGGGAAAAATTATGTATTTTAGCTTTAGGACAAATTCTATATTTATTTATCGGTTTAGACCCAGTTCTGTATTTTGTTCGTTCTTTTACTCGACCGGTTGAGCGGTAAAGAATGGTGAACGAGTTGTTCTATTCAAATTGTTGATTATTCAAATTAGTTATAACCAGAAAAAGTAAATTGTTGACATATCACAAAAATATTGTACTTAGGGTTTTCGTGGGTTTCGGGATAAACATCTTAAAAATATATTCATATACGTTTACATTTGAAATATTCGGTTATTCGGGTTTTTTTCCTTTGGTATAGTTAAATAAAAATGTACAAAAACCACAGTGGCTTTTAGAATGGATTTTTATCGATTACTCGCTTTTACTATGCACCTGCTTGTCGGCACTTTTGTCATCTAGTACATGGGTTTTTTTAGGTAAATATAAGTGTTAATGGTCTTTCTGGAAACATTGGTTTTCATGGTAGATAGCAGCTGAGTTTAAACGCGTAGATTTAATTTCTTTTCATGCGATGGTTTCCAAACCAATCTTGCGCAAATAAGCAGAAACTTTTAATTGCTTTTCCGTTTTCTATTTCCTAAGCTGCGCTGCTGCAATTAAGATAGGTATTGTTTTCTATATCAGAGCTGTAAATTCGCACCTAGGTTTCCTACTTTAATGGCCTAGAGTTTATTGCATCCGTCTTTTTAATTTTGAGATTCTTTCCGTCGTGGAAACAGATGGAATATTTAAGTAGTTTTTGTTTGGAAAAACCTATCGTCACACCTTCAATTGAAATTTTGATGTCTAGAAAAGCCAAACAAAGATTCTGGTTGGCTTGTTGTAGCGTTATTTATCAGAGTATAGAGCATGCTGACGACACTATTGTTAGCTTTGGAAATAAAGTTTGTTTTGAAAGTTGAAACTACTGCGCGGGGAGAAGTGGGGAGAAACATTCGACTATCTCGTGTTTCTTCCCACACTTTTTTCGTGCTTTAGCCTCTTTCTGCGTGCCTTACAACAGAACAGAGCACAGTCAAGGCTTCTCCATATGCAACTGTTATGCACATTTTCTTTTCGTTTGTAGGATCTACACGGGCGTATTTTGATCAAGGATGAAGCAAAATGAAGAAAAGAACCGCCAGATCATTGTAGCCTACGGTGACAGACGCCATTTGAATTATGTTAATAACTCAATGTACGCAGGTAAACTAGAAGAAGCTAGAGATGCTCTTCAACTTTCCGAGTGCTTCATATCTCGATGAACGCATGCTGACATATGAACCAATTGTTTTATTCGTCAGCTGTGCTTTTATCAAGATATGAAGTCCTTGCAAAGTTTTGAGAGTGCTCAAGAAGCTAGAGATGCTCTCAGCTGCGCCTCGAGCAACTCTTACGCGTATTATCTGCTCTCCAAACTTCCCACGTGCAGGCGTCAAACTAGACCAGTTCCCAGATTTGATTTATTGAAGGCCTTTGGTTGGAAGGAAACAAAGAAGACGGTTTAAACGCCGAAAACAACTAGAAAGATTTAATTTTTCTAACATTTCCTTTTTTTAAACTTGTTGCTGAATATTTATTACATTCTTTGAAAAGAAAGCTATTGTTGAGAAGTTCAAGAAGTTGTCGACAAGTTAGTCATAGTAGCATCCATTCAGAAGGAAAATGACCAGTACCGACAGTTCAGAAATTCGATCCAGTGAGAAGGAAAGCCTGATAATTAGCAGCCCCCGAATCAGCGAGAAAAAGGAAAAGTGTTCCTCCGGAGGTGATTCACCCAGGATTCTTCACATTCTTCACAACATAGTTATCTACACCAGCAATGGTCTTTGCATCTTTATGGTGTTTGTTTCATACTCTTTGTTTTCACCATTCTTTCCTGCAGAGGTTAGCACTTTTATTCATTAATCAATAGTATATTAGAAATAAGTCTCTATTGGTAAGTAATCACAAGATATTAGTAAATTAATGTAATATCTTTCACAGTTTAATATTTCACTAGCTCGTCATCAAATAATTGTTTTTAACTCTAAATCAACAAAGAGCTATCCTCGAAAAGATTGTTAGAGTTGCGGATGCTCCTTTTAAGTAGATTGAATCATTTACCCAAAAATTTGTTAGTTGTAAAAGGATATAATTTCACTGTCAACGTATTATTGACTGTGGTGAAAAAAGGATGGAAAAAATAGCATTTTTCATCGATAGATTTGTAAGATGGGTATTTTGACTTTGAGATAACTTAATTTCTAAGTTTCTAAGTATTTTAGTTCTTGAGGTGCTTAATACATTTCATTTTTAAGGTAACAGCTGATATGGTGAAAGTAAATGTACATTAAAAAAAAACAAACAAAATTTCGATCTATTTCTTAGCATCAAATCTAGGAGTGTTACGTCTGCAGCCAGGAGAGCATCAAGCTAATGGCTTTTATTATACATTAGACTCAGATTTATATTATCGTGTTGTGGTCACATATTATGAAAACACCTGATGAAATTATAGTATGGTGGGATTTTTTTTCAATTTTGCCAGATGTGATGGAAAGCCTTTGAATAGTTCTCCTTCCTCTTAGATCAATGTCAACATCCTCTAAAAAGTGTTAAATTTGGCTCTCAGATGAGTTGTAAAAAGATATTGACTTTTTTGATAATGTTATCAATTCTGATGGAAAATGCCAGTAGTCCAAATTAGATTTGACTTACTAACCAGAGGAAGGGCTCGTCAAGCAACAGCCTTCAATCCAACAGGAAAGTGCAGAACTCGGGCTCAGATTGTATCTTTGGAGTTAATTGACTTTGGACTCTTCGAAACATATTTATTATCATCCCCATCAGTATTGCCTACTTTGTGGTATTTTAAGCATGTTCTGTATATGAATCACCATTATTTCCTAGAAAGGTTAGCAATATTATTTATACTGAAGAATAATGATGTACTTCTGTCTGGGTAGTATAATGATGTTTGCCAATGTTCACAGGTTTTCCTTAATTGATTGGTAACCGAAGTATTTTACTTTGATGCAAAACCTGTACTTTCATTCATAACGTAGAGAAATTGTCGGGGCCCAAGAGATCCATTAGTATTACTGAGCACTTTACGTGCACCTTTTCCAATGATATATTTTGCATAACTTGCATTTACTCCAAAAAGTTATACATTGGTGAAACAGGAAGATGACTGGGTGACCGATTCCGAGAACACCTTCGCAATGTAGAAAAAAATGACAAGGAGCCAGCCAAATTAAACCAGTCGCTAGACACTTAAATCTCCCTAATCATTCAGAGTAGAAAGCTCCAAAACTCTAAGGTAAAACGTTATCTTTCAAATCGGCACTCTTAATCCCCACGGTATCAACGACCGCTTTTCATTCAACTAATTTATTCTTGCTTTTCTCCTCACCATGTTCCCACTAATAGCGTAGCTTCGTTTTCTGTATATCTGTGTTCTGACGAAGGGGTAACGCTAGAAACGTCAGCTTCGAAAATCTTTACGGTGGCCAATTTACATTATCAAATCAGTTTATAAACCAAATTACCTTATTTGAAAAGTAACCTGCGCCCAAAAGGGTTTCAAATAGTCGTCGACGTTTTATTAAAAATCATAATTATTAATAATATTGTTGACGCTGCTTTCAGTTCCTATTAGTGTTAGCTGATCGGTATCCATGTTACAGCGGGGCTTCAGTGAGCTGTCTGCGATCGGCAGCAGGGTTTTGCGCTGTATAACCGACCGTAGTTCTTAGAGGACAGGATACTCCATTGATGCACTTTTAATTTGATGCCATCGTACGTCACGGAAGGAAGCGAGACCTCGTGATCGATCTTCTTCAGTTCGTGGACAAACTCAGACATGTTCACTTCAGGTGCAAAGTCTCTGCTGAAGGTGTCAGCGAGAAAAATTATCCTCGCCTTTCTTGTATTTAATCTCAAGGAAGTGTAGGAGTATTTGCTGCCACCGTTGTGGTGCTGCGTTAAGCGTCATGTAACTAGCTTGGATCACGTTACAATTTCATGCCTTGAGTGCAGGCAACATCTGATGAATCAACTCTCAGCTAAAAGTCACTCTAAATCTTGACTGAAGAAAAGAAATCTGAATTCTGTGAGGAATTTGTGGGAAGTTGGACCCAGATCTAACACATACGTTCAACACTTTTCTTAACTTTCTTATTACTATTGTTATAAAAAAACACTATTGAAAAGTAAGCTCTCATAAAGGGGTTGCAAATAATTTTCCTTGTGTTAGTCAGAGTATTATCCATTCAGCTTAAATTGACTATCAGTTTAGTGATTCTATCCGGTGATCAGAAAAATGGCCTGAAAATTGACGGCCTCCAACTTAGCGAGAAAGAGGAAACCTCAAGCTTACAGTGTTCCTCTAGAGGTGGTTTACCAAGGATTCCTCACAGCGGGGCTTATAATAATCTTATAATAATATCTTTCACAAGCTTCTATATTCCCATGAAAGCAAATGAAAACAAAAGACTGATCTGTACACTCAGGGCAAAAGACTCACCACATATACCTGGAGCAGTGTCGTGGTAGGAGGTTTAAGGGGAGAGAGGTGGGGCAAAGGGCTAAAGTGGCAAAAGTAGGAGCTGACTGGGGGTTTGAGGATGGCTACTGTAAAGTAGGAACTTATCGGGGGTCTGAGGATGGCTACTGTAAAGTAGGAACTTATTGGGGGTCTAAGGACAGCTACTGTGCATGGTTTTCCAATCAATAATTAAATCTAGAGCCAAGTACAAATACTGATATTTGTTCCAATGCCATTTTCATAATTTGTCTCAAGATTTCTGTCATTTATTGTATAACTGTTTCTCTTTTTTTCTGTCTACTTAAAGGCAATGAGAAAAGGCGTGTCTGAAAGTATAGTGGGGCTTATCTTTGCAACTTATTCATTTGTGATTTTCATCTTTTCGCCATTTTGTGGAGTTCTTGTAAGTATTTGACTCTGAAGGGTATCCATGATAGGTAGAATATTTAATTCATTTATTTGTATATTTACCACTATTCGCTTTTTCGGATTCAATACTCCACCATCTTTATTTTAGTATTAATTTTTATGATAAATAACTTCATCTCCTTCAGATCAGAATAGGCTCAACAAGGCAGAACCTGAAACAGTTTACTTTCATTTTACAGATTACTTTGCTTGAACAAATAATATTCCATTGTCAATGATAATTGTACATTTTGCATCCTGAAACCCTTAAATCCTAATAGTGACAATCGCCTAAAATCTCCTTACAGTAATACTGATGAGTCATTTTAACATCATGAGAAAAAAGGAAACGATTGCCGACCTGAGAAGCTTTGATTGATAAATTCTCCTTTTCAGTACCAAATAAATCTACAGAAAACACTTCAGAGAATATGGTTGCTGATGTTGAGGTGTAAAAGGTTAACATAATGATATATTAGAACCACATGGCCACAACTTAATTACATGTAGTTTTCTGCTTGAATCAGCACTTGTATTCCGAGATTTTTTACAATCACTTACTGATGAGCAATTTGTATCACTTTCAGATACCAAAATATGGCCCTAGGTTTGTTCTCTACTCAGGGCTTGTTCTTTGTGGGGGATCATTGGTTTTATTTGGGTGAGCCAAAACGCTGATTTTAATAAGTATGATTTCTGTATTTAATTATACAATGAATCCTTAAGTCGTCATCCTTCTTTCTTCTCATTATTCTTTTACTTGAAATTATAATATTGTGAAGAAAAATTTCTCTTTGGTCAATATTGGAAGTGAAAAGACTAACTCTTAGAAGTAGCACTTTTCCAGTGGCTTGATAAACTAGACAAGACTTAAGCAAGCTAAGAAAATATGCTGATTAATGTGAAAGATAGTCAATTTGAAATGGTGTTGAAAATTAAGTTTGAAAAGACCTAAAGTGAAAAAATAAGAAGTTCAAGCCAAAGATCTTGCTAAGACTAAGAGCAGTCTCTCCTTTTTGGCGAAGTCCGTCGCGCGATTAAAAACAATTCTACGAAAGAAAGATTTTATGTTAGCGCGCCGCGGGGAACTCTGGGAGTGAGGCGTAGAGGAAGGGACTACAGCGTAAGCCAAAGAGTTTGACCTTGCACAGGTGAGTGACTTTTAACCTCAATGGCATTCCTTATCTTAATTACCAATCAATTTTCATATCGTCGCAACGCTCGGGTGATATCAAGAGCTCTATTTACAAAATTCGTTCCCACATTGCGAACGAATTTTGCTGTGTGTGTGCTTGCAATTATAAATTGCCTCCAACGATCGCGAAGTGATTTAAAAATCTCATGTCTGACGCTCGATTTACACTGGGCTCAGAATGTTGACACTGCGTGCGGTGGGCTGCCGACTGCCGGTCATTTAGTTATTTGAGAACCATAACCGGCAGTCGGTATTTTTCTAAAAATTGAAAAAACACATGGTAGATAAGGCCCTCTCCAAAGCCGGTTGGCAAAATTGCCGGGACGTCCTTTCCAGCGAGAAGAGCTTTAGGCGCCTTAGTGTGCTCTGGTTTCAGCGAAAGAATTGTCTGAAACCTGCAGGTCATCGGCCATGATTAATCTGGAGCGTTGATAAGCGTTGATACATATAACCACTTGTTGACAGATTACCGTCTGATGGCCGATCATATTTTTGCGTTGAGAAATCAAACTCTTGGATTTTTAGTCTGTGTTCCCTTTTTTCAAGCGCCTCACTCCAAGGGCTCCTTGTTTCATTGTTTTTTTTTTTCCCCTGACTTTTTTTGGACTCGTGCGACGGACCTCACCAAAAAGGGAGGACTGCTCGAATTCTAGGTCTTGCCCCTTTACGAGCAAGACCTGGAATATCTGTGGCTTTTGTATCTTTCAGATTTTGTGACCTGATTGTAGATCGGGATGCGTTCATAACTGTTTCCTTCATACTAAGAGCAACATCAGCCATTGGAGGGGCTGCAGCTGAAACCTCGGCAATGTCCATTTTATTAGGAAAATATCCAGATAATATTGGAACGGTTTCAGTATGTGGGATTTTGTTCGTTGAATTCAAACTACAGTTTATAATGAATACATTTTTAGCCTTGCCATGAAGATATTACATATGGTAACTTCTAATATGTTTATAAAAAAAAGTATCTATGTCAGAGAAATGTTCGGTTATTATATGACGTAGTGACTTTGATGAATGAATGCTTATTTTTAGTTATTTTTTGCGTAATAATTAAAGTGGCTCTATAAATTGCCTGGAAAAAGATATCACTCAGCCCCTGAGTGGGACTTGTCATGACATTCCCTGAGTGATGTCTGTTTCAATAGGGTTCAGAGTCACCTTAATCAAAAAACAAAATGCATGAAAATAGCATTTATTCATCAAAGTTACTAAGTACTGTAAATAATGTTAGCTTCTATTAAAAATAACAGTAAATAAATTGCAGTTAATAATTGGAATAAATGGTCGTTGAATAAGATTTAGCTGAGGCAGATTCAGAAGGTGACCTAATCTACCGGTACCTCCATTTTGTTAAAAAATTATTAGAATTTAAAGAGCCGATTTTAACAGTTAATGTAAATTGAGAGTTAGTCTGCATAGCAGGCATATGGCGAGCTAATGCTCAATATTCCTCGTGAGTGTTGAAGCTGTCATATTGAATTCATTTGATAAGATCGAGTAAAGCCTGGAGCAAGTAAAAACTGTATGCGATGGAGGTGGTACATGCAGCAAGAATGTCAATTAAATTTCCCTTGTTCCTTTCTCCCTTCCTGATTTATTTACTGCGGGCTTATTTCGATCTTGTCAATTTACAAGTTAGAGCAGCTTCAAGGCAATATAAGAAAAAAGTTCTTTCAACGTTATTTTCTAGGGTGTGGCGGAGACAGCTACTGGAGCCGGATATGCCTTTGGTCCAGTCATGGGAGGATTTCTTTACACGGTATGTACATGGCATGGTCCTTACCTGATTTATTACCTGTAATATATGGCGTGAATATGATTTGAAAAGCATCCCTTAATGTATAAAATTCAACTTAAAAGTTGTCAAAATTACATCCAAAACTGCCACTGCTTAAATTTCCATCTACGCTGCTTTTGGCCAGGTTTCATTGGTTGTGTTGACTAAGAGACAATACCTCAACTGACCACCTCGCTCACACCGTAGTGAGGTTGAACACTTAATTACCCCGGCTTTTCCCAGAGCATGCTAAGTAAAGAAATAAAGTTATGTGTAACAGGGTAATCTGAGATGCAGGAAAATAACATCATCAATAATCTCTGATCTCAGTTGATCTTGTTTCTAGGTTGGCGGTTTTAAACTTTCCTTCGTTGTTACGGGTGGAACTATGATTGCTGTTATTCCAATTTTAGCCTTGACACTTGGCAAAGGTTTGATTTTCAGATTTTTTTAACAATCTAAATTCCTACTGATTGAAGTATCTCAGTCATTTTCTTAAAAGGCATTTGATTTGTGTAAAAGGTGTTCAGCTTCAAAAATCATTACGTCAATGAAGGAGTGATTGGACGTGTTAGTCAGTCAGTCAATCTTTCAGTTGACCCTTGAGTCATGTTTGACAGGTATCTGTATCACCTTTTTTACACGATGCGCCTCCTATCAACATTAATTTCATTCAAAATCGTTTCAAGGAGACATGTGACATTGCTCTCGAGCAAACAGTTTGGTAAACAAATATAATTCCATAATAATAAAGTTTTATCGTTTGTCTTACGATGTGGTCAGTTATGATGTGAATCGCAGCTAGCCCGTACCCAGACCTCCGCCGTTTCAGAGCACGCTCACAACACCGGACACCAATCGCTTTGGAAGGAGGTTAAGTTTATTGATCGTGATCCTTACTGGTACACTCGTAGGATCAAAGAGTCAATTCACGTAAGACTTCACCCTAACAACATCAACAGGGACAGTGGAATAGAAATTCCTGAATCGCGGATGCCCACGATAAAAAACACAACAACCGGAGAGTCGTACAACAGCGAACCGTCGAACGAACAACTCACTAACATCGAGGATCTAAACAAACCAATCACGGCTGTGGGAAACCAACCAATCACAGTGGAGCATTATACTTTATAAGAAAACCCGAAACCATTCGACCTTATCGCCTGATGAAGACGAGTAGTATGCAGTCGAAACGTCGAAATTCACATCATAAGTGACCACATCGTGAGACAAGTGATAATACTTTATATTTATTGAACTTTACCGAGATGAACAAGCACAGCCTTTTCTACGAAATATAATTCTAGCCACCAATATGAAAATGCAAGGTGGACTGGTGCCTGTGTTGCAGGTAATTTAGTGGGTTCAACTGGGTTGAAAACGTAAATTAGCCACCGTAAAGGGTAAAATAGCTCACGTTTCGAGCGTTAGCCCTTCGTCAGAACGATCTTTCTTTAGAAACTTACCCCTTTATGGTACCTGTGTTAATAGACTACCATATTTATCCGCGGATTGGCCACATCCGCGTATAAGCTGCACATTTTGGTGATTTGGCAAAGCGCTAAAAAGCCCGTATTTTAAGTTAAGCCCATCCTTTATGATCGTGTGAGTCAAAAGCATTTAACTGAAAGGAAAGTCAGCGCTGGGGCCACATAACTTTTTGCCGATTTCCTCTTACTCAGGCTATGGATATAAAATGAGAAACATGAGTTCCTTTACTGTATTGAGTGTAGTTTTGAGCCATACCAGTCCGTTCTTGAGAAGTTTCTATTGAAATATAGCATGGATAATTGTTATTTAAAAACTATATACCAGGAGAGGAAAAGAAGAAAAAAGATGACAAGGAATCAATATCCAGGTTAAAAGTGCTTAAAATTCCAACTGCACTCATGTTATGTAAGTACATGACTACACTTAACATTTAACATATTTTTTCTGACAATGGATAATGGAGAGTTAATATTACTGGATAATGTGATTGCTGATGCACCCTGAGTTGAGGGTGGCCAGAATACCTCTTTTGGCAGAACATTTATGTGGATGTCTAACGAACAAAAACACGTGGCTCATTTGACGTCTTGCCGAAAGATACCAGAGAACTTAAAAGACACCAGCTCTATATTGATTGCATTCCTAGAGTCTAAAACCATATTAGAAATCAAACTGTTACACCTTCTCTGCACTGTTATATGTCATTTTATATCGAAGCTTTAAGATAATCTTGGAGGGCGGATTCTTGCTGTAAGCCAAATGCATTGGCAAAGAAAGTAAGCAAGGTGGCTTCTCACCATCTATTTTCGTTCGTGACGAGGAAAGAAACAAAGACGACCGGCTTCTTTTGTGCATTATTACAGCTGATTATCCGTTACAGGTATTAGATAAATGTTGTAAAGTGATAGCTTATGCGTTCGAAAGGTTGATAAACATTAACAAAATTACAAAAATGTAATTTTTGTAAAAGTTGTCGGAGTGGCAAAAGTTGCTCGAAGTTGCCAGAAACTCGAAAAGTGCTCCAAACGCTAAAAGTTGCTCAAAAGTTGCCGAGCATAAGGGAAGGGGCTATTTTTAAGTTACAATGTCTTAGAGACTAGAGCTCTTACATTTGTTTAAGAGTTACCGAAATGAGAGTCTTTACTAAATTTTTCCTGTCATTTTATTCCAGCTCTCTGCTTTGTCGTCTGTGGCTTTTCATTTTCCTACCCTGAACCTATCTTAGGGCCTCACTTGATAGAGGTACAATTACGACCTTTACTTTTATATCATGTTAGGTCTTTTTGAGGTGACATATAATGTTTCATTCTGTCACAGAACATGCTTTGTCAACTAGATGGCTTGATCAAACAGAATCCCTTGACGCAATACCTTGAGGAATATTCAAAAGTGAATATGATTACTTCAGGATTTCGTTAGTTCTGTTTGACTTCCCTCTTGTGATCCGGTAAACTCACGCCAACTTTTTGGAGGTAGAACTTAAACTTATTACGACTTTGTCACTGTCGTTTTCCCGCCCCTCACAAAGGTTCCTTCCTTGTTTTTTCCAATTCCTTATTAGCTCCGCGTGACATTTTTATTTCCTCTTATTGGACGTTGTTACTACTTTGGTTTCCGTTATGCGACATTTGATCGAAATTAGCTTGTGACCAGGCCCTCACCGTTAACGCTGCCGGACGTGCATATCTCTGCAGGCGGGAAAATTAGAGACGAGTTGAGACAGGTTTGCTGGGATCTGGCAGACCCCAAATTGACCGCTGGCCGGCTTGCTTCTCTCAAGAACTCAGACCTTCTCGCGGGCCAAATAACGCTCGTATTGTAGCGCTTATAAACGAAATGCGATTTATTATTCCTTTTGGAAAATTGAGTTCGCCAAACTTTTAAGGTCTTCTGTCTTCAAAGTTGGGCTTAATGGTCCATTTGGCATATATTCACTTCACAGATTGGCCAAAATCCAGCAAATGTTGGTCTTGCTTTTCTTTGTTGGGCTGCGACTTACACCCTGTTAGCACCATTGGTCGGATACATAGGAGATAAAACGGTAGGTTTTCCCTTTAGCATAGCAAAAATTAACTTTGCATCGGGGTCTGGCATCATCACAATTACCAAATCTGCGCTCCAAAAACTTTCATTAACAAGACAAGTGTTTGCCGGTGGGGGAACTAAGACTTCTTTTTGTGAGGTTTCCTTTTCTCCTATGGTGAATGGTAGGGGACAGGGCGGGGTTTCCAGTGCATTATGAAGTGGGTAATGACATGTTCAAACTCAATTTCACGAAATTCAACTTGGTGACCGACAGAGTCCATTCCGTTTCAATCAAAAGTGTCTTCCCCAGAATGAATTCTAAACATTAAAGAGTGCTGGGGGAAAATAGCGACTTTCAGTGACGTCTTGCTGTGAGGAGTTTTCCCAGAAATTTTCTGCTTCGATATTTGTAGGTTCTCTAATGACAAAACTTACCATTTATACCTCCGATTTAGTTGATTGAATTGTTAACTCGAGGCGTCAACTCAGAGAAAAAAATCATCCACTCCGAAAGCTGTGTTGTTAAGAACTCATGGTAACAGCTCTTTCCAGTGTGATTTGGTATGCAATGTATTAAAAATAAAAGCATGATTTTGATGGAACTGCATATCTTAAAAAATGTCTTTGCAGAAATGTTATCGAACGATGATGATAGCAGGTTTTACTGTACTTCTCATTGGACATCTGTTGGTGGGACCTGCTCCATTTCTTACGTTCTTACCAGCTAAGTATGTGTACCAATCATTCTGCATATTTTCATTATCATGTTAATTAAAAGTACCAGTAAAAAAAACGATCTTCAATATTCTGAGAAATTTGTACAACATAGATTTGTGGCTTTGAATATCAAGTTTCACGCCTATCTCCAAAACGATCCAAATCTGAGGTTCAGTCACCTTCGAGAAATGTTATGTTAATGATAAAACTTATTCGGTTCCGCTATTCTTGCAGGACGATTTGGCTGGTTATTCCAGCAATGTTCCTTTATGGAATTTCTGGTGCTCTTGGTTTTGTACCCATCATGCCTGAACTCATTAAAACTTTAAGGTAAGTACCAATGTTTAAGGAAATACAACAACCAATGCAAGGGGGGCACAAAAGGCGTTACTAGTTTAACAGCAATACACAGAGCTATACCCTAATTTCCCCGGGTAGATTCGTCGTCGCCATGATAGCTGGGAATATGTTCTTTGACATATTACATTACAATTTTGAGAACTCTGAAAGTGAGAGATGATGAGTTTTCATTTTCGATGTCACTTATGCGTCGGTGTCTGTTTTTGTGAATGATTTTGAGTGGGTATGTTTGGCATTTTAACTATTAAATTAGTGTAATTAAGTCCTCCCTCCTTCCTCTTTGTTTGTGAACCTTTGTAATTATTTTTAACGAGTACAGCGACCCTGATCGATGACTCGAACCTTTAAGATAAAGTAAAAAAGAGTCCTTTCTTTTTTTTCTAGCATTCGAATTATCTAGAATTAAGTCACAGTAAATGAATGGTGGATTTCCAGAGAATTCGGTTTGGTTCGAGTTAGCACCAGGTTCGAATTGGCGAGTGTTGAGTTATTGGAAGTCAACTTTATTGATTAACTTTTTTTTATAATCATGTTTTTGTACTTGCTTGCTGCTTCTTTTTCCCTCGCAGGGAAGATGGAATGCCCGATGATTCCTCCACAAACGCGCTTGTGTCAAGTATTTACATTTGTATGTACTATTTAGGGTATGTGCACTTTTTTATTGACTCTTTATCTCTTTTGTTTTAATTGCTAAAGCGGCAACGATTTGAGGGAGGGCAGACGCTAACATCCACGCTTGAAATGGATTATAAATGTTTTTCAACTTTTTCTTTCCAGGTCGGTGATTGGGCCCGTTCTAGCTGGAGTACTATGTGATCACTTTGGATTTGAGTGGTCCATGACTGTAAGTGCTCTTTCATCGATCATTCAAGGCATTTGATATACGCTAAGAGACTTGATATTATAAAGAGTTTTGAGGAGATTTTAGTATTTATCGCCGGCGGGGAGGGGGGGAAGGGAGAATTTCAGTGGGGATCAGACGGTTTTCTCTGTGGGGAAACAGATAGGGGATCAGTCGTCGCCTAAAGACAATGAAGGACGGACTATTAAAAATTAACTGCCAATTAACTACCAATAAGGAGGAGGGGGGGGGGAGGGAATATTTCAGACTCAGGTAAATTTTAATGTGACACAACCAAAATCCCCCCCCACCCTTCCTCCTTCCTTGTTGGTAAATAATGACCGGTGTCTTAATAGGAACAAACTACACATAACAAGTATTTCTTCTCGTTTCCCTACTTTTGCAGGTAGCAGGTTTCATCTGCTTTTTCCAAGTGAGTGCATAAACAATTTTGCTTCTAAATGATCGGTTAACGTTATTTTCTGGTGTTTTGTTCTATCATATTTTTACTTTAAGAGAAAGATCTTTCTCTAAAATAATTTTTTCCTTTTTTTTCTTTTAGGTTTTATAGTTTATCATCTAGGAATATTTGTTACCATATCTTTCTGTTATATATGCTTGTTTTTTTTAGCTCCTGTGGGTGGAGGGGGGGAGGGTTCAATAGGAGTATTTCAGACTTAGATAGATTTTTAGATAGGTAGATTTTAACATAACACAATCAAAATACCCCCCTCCCCTCCCCCTTCCTCGTTGGTAAATTATGACCGGTGTCTTAACAGGAACAACCATTCACATAAAAAGTATTTCTTCTCGGTTTCCTACTTTTGCAGGTAGCAGGTTTCATCTGCTTTTTTCAAGCGAGTGCACAAACAATTTTGCTTCCAAATGATCTTTCTCTGAAGTAATTTTTCCCCTTTTTTCCTTTAGGTTTTGTTGTTTGTTTGTTGGAATATTTCTATTGTATTTGTTTTTTTTTAGCTCCTGCTGATTTGTTTATTCACGTTTTTTTAAAAGATCTCTTTAAGGTTAGTAAATAGTTCGATAACGTTAATATCAGCTGTTTCTGTAAAAGCAACTTACAAGTAGCTACTATACAACCTCTTTTCTGAAATAATCAGCAAGGTATGTAACTGAAGTTCACAATATTCTTTCTTATATTGACCCTTTTAGACTTGACTTGCACGTATAAAGACAGTGAAGTTAAGTGAAGCTGAATTAACGGTTTCAACGACCAAAAGTAATCAACCAATCAGTCTTTTAAGAAACTGACCTAAATCATTCGACTGAAAATAATTCATCGGTTGACTGATGACTTCCGCTTGTGTTGTCGAAACCGAACGATTCAACTTTACGATTGTACGATGCTTTTCCTTTTTTTAATCTTAGGGAAAATACTGACGCAGGGAGGATACCTCTATTAGTTAACTATGTGCAGGAGGATAACAATTGATTGAAATGTCGACAAGCGCTGAAAACGTTGCATTCATATGAAGCAAGGAGGGAGGACTTTGTGTTTATTGTATGACGTCACATAGCAACACAGACACAGGGCAATATGATACTCGTTTCGCTAAGTTTTATAAACCTAGTGTGAGGCCAGTGTAGTGTGTCTTCCTATATTTGGATAATTACCTTAACTATTAGATAATCTGTATTTTACTGGTTAGCACAAACATGACCACAATCACATGATTATCCTTAAATATCATTTTATGTTATTAAGTTCATTGTATTCTAATAAAGCAGTTGTGTAACGCACTTGGTCTGATTCCCGCATTATGGTAGTAGTATATCGAACCCTTATACACAACAGACAGCAATAGTAGCTTACAAAGACAAGGCCATTACAAGCCTCTGGTGGGTTATTATTGACTGATTTTCCGTGAGTGTACAAGCTTTGTCGTATAAAGTCTGTGAGTTTGACTGTTATTGTCCTGTGAAAGTGTTTATTTGTAATTTCACTGAATACAGTTCGAGGCGAATGCGACTGACCATTATATTTACTTCCGTACTAGTCAAAACCAAACAAAATGAACTGCTTCACAAACAGAGGGTGATATTCAATGCATTCAGTCAAGGCTAGTGCATCCTAAAAATACTGATTACCCAGTATCCACTGTTTTGTATTTTTGGGACAGTTGTTTCTGTATCTCTTGTTTATTTTTCATATCCCTAAATTGTTTTTTCTCCAATGATATTTTTTTTCTCTGCTGGCTCCATTGCTTTATAGTATTGTTTTTTTTTTTCCATGTCTAATCATCAATTTTTTTTCTTTCCTTTCTGTCAATTACTTTTCATGAACATGTAGCAAACAGTATTCTGTATTGTCCTACAGTACTATATTTCTCTAGTGTTTTTCTAATGGCATCAACAAGTGAAGCCATTCCATTTATGTTTTTAGTGTACTGAATTGAGGACGTGTCTCTTTCATGATAAAGCAAGGAGGAATACATATATTTTGATCTTTTTGTGGGTTTAGAGGTACAACTGATGCAGTACGAAGAAAATTATATCAAAAACCTTGTGCATTCACTATTATGTACTATTTCGTTCTCAAGAATTGACTTGCTTTGAAGTGAATCAGTTAAAAGTTCTTCACTCTTAGACAAATTATCCAAATTTCCTTCAGTTTCACAAACATTCACAGTTCTTGGAAGATTAACTGGTGATTGCTGGTTGTGTTCTAAACTTGATTTAGGACACATCTTTTTGCCTTTGTCAACAATGGCAGGTAAGGATGAGTTGTAATTCCAGTAATTACATGTGTTACAACTATTGTAACTACGAAGTATCACGCGATGGTCAAGACAGCTGTGTTGTTTTATTCATAACTTAGAAGTACATCGCAAGCATTGTGACGTCATAATTACATAATTTATGACACTCTCCCGGGCCGATTAGATAAGAAATAGTATGGAATGATTAGCAAAATAGAAATATTTAAGAATAGTTTCGTAATAAATATCTTTCAGGTCAAGTATTCCTTTGATTGTTCCCGGATTCTGTGAATTGCTTTCTGAGCGGCAAGTCGTACTGGGGGACGTTGTTTATCGGTTATAGCTTCTTTGTCTTCCTTTTCAATACTTTGTGTATTGTTCTCGCTGGATACCTCCAATGGGTAAAGTTTCTCTATAGGTCTTAACAGTGTATTACCAGAACTTATTCTTAAAGATACAGATCTGACTAATCCGTCTTTCCCTTTATGTAAATCAGTAACGACACCTATTTTCCACTGATTACGTGGCATATTATCATGTATGAGAACAACGTCTCCTATAGAAACTGTGGTGTTGCTTGACACTTTCCTTTGATGAGCGTTATATTCACGTAGACTTGTCAGATACTCCTTTTGCCAACGTGTCCAGAAAGCCTGTATCGTTTTCTCATGATATTTTGCTCTCTTTGTTAGCTCTTTTGTAGAAACATCAGGCAGAATATAGTCTGGATCTGATTCTTGGACGCTAACTCTTGTGTCTGGTAATGCCAGAAGACGGTGTCCACATAAGAAATGTGATGGGGTCAAAGGAGAGGCATCGTTAATATCCACGTAAGGGTATGTCAAGGGACGGCTGTTTAACACTACCTCAACCTCAATGAGTATTGTGTTAAGTTCAATAATGTTTAGACAGGCTTTGCCTATAGTTTTTTTGAGACATCTTTTTACTAGTCCAACAAGTCTTTCGTAGAATCCTCCCCACCACGGGGCTCGTTCTGTTATGAACTTCCATGTTATGTTAGGGTTGGCGAGGAACTGTTGTGATGCATCTGGCTTGAGGACCTGATTTTTCATCGTTTGGAGTTCTTGAGCTCCAGCTTTAAAGGTTTTTGCGTTGTCAGAAATGATACATTCGGGAACTCCACGTGGACTGATAAATCTTCTGAATGCCCTAAGAAAGGCTTGGGTTGTCTGATCTTCTACTAACTCGAGGTGCACGGCTCGTATTGCGGCACAAGTGAACAGACAAACGTAAACTTTGGATGAAGTTCGATTTCCTTGGTCGCGAACATAAAGAGGACCTGCGTAATCGATGCCAGTAAATTGAAAGGCCTGTGATTGTAGAACTCTCGGTTTGGGTAGAGGTGGTGTAGGTACAGATCGAAATGGTGGTCCTTGGATTTTTCTGCATGTTGTGCACTTGGAGATGATTCTTTTAACCAACTGTCGACCTTGTGGAATCCAATATGTTTGTCTTAGCTGAGTTAATGTTTCACAAACTCCACCATGCATAACCGTTTTGTGCATAGATTGGACTATCAGTGAAGTCAAATAATTGTCTTTTGGCATGAGAATGGGAAACTTTGTATCGTGGGGTAGATCTGTGTACTGTAACCGTCCACGACAGCGAAGTAGGTCCTCATCGTCAAGATAAAGGTTGAGTTGTCGTACGATGGCAGGTTCTTTGAATTTATCCCCGTTCTTTAGGTATGATATTTCTTTGTGATAAGTCATTTGTTGAGTTGCTTTTAGTAACAAATTTCTGGCTTCCAGCATTTCTTTTGTGGTGAGAATGTTATCATTATACGCTTCAGGTGTTTTCCACTTTCTTGCAAAGAGGACAAGAAGGGCAGTAATTCTGACTACACGTGTTAGGGTGCTGTATTTTGTTAACTCAATGATGTTCAGTATGTTGGGATTTTCTTTAATATCTGCCATAATTATAACTGCCAATTGTGGGTTCTCGTACTCTGTGTGGATTGATGATGGTTCGGGTTGTGGAGGCCATGTGTCCTCTGGGTTTCTCAGCCATGGAGGCCCTTGAAACCATAGTTGTTTCTTCTCGTGGAACATTTTGGTATCAAGTCCCCGAGTCAACAAGTCGGCTGGATTCATCGATGTTGGGCAAAATCGCCATGTATTCGGGGATGTTAGTTCTTTTATCTTGTGGACTCGTGTACTAACAAATTGTGGTAATTGTTTAGTGGACGATATCCACGATAATACTATTGGGAATCACTCCAGTATGTGACTTCGCATTTGGTTTTTGTAAGTTGTAGTGTCTTGGTCAGATATTCAGATAACTGCGCTCCTAAGAGTGCTG